GTAGCTCACACCTGCCGGTTACTGTGTTTTCTCAGTTTGTGATCTCACCATCACCCCTAGCTAGTGACTTGAAGAGCTTGCCTCCTGCTGCCGGCCCATGTGGGTATGCCCGTGAGGAGAACCCATAAGCTCTCTGCTTTAGTCCCTGGGCAAGAGTCAGAACACCCTGGGGACGGACACTGCCAAGCAGCAGCTCCCACCCCAGCTTGTGAAATAAGAGGTTTGGGTCATGTCCAGGGCCTTGGGTGCAGGTGCCTTCAGGAGCCAGACCTTGTGGGGAATGTGGCAGCTGCTGTGGGAGAGGGAGGCCATAAGGCGGGGGGAACAGTAGGTGCAGGAGGGAGGCCCCAGCCATCCCAGCGTTTGCTAGAGCCCTGTGGCCCCTGGGCCTCAGTTGACCGCAGATACACACCCTAGCCCAGCTCTGAGGAGCACCCTGCCGCTGGCACACCCTGCAGCTTTGGGGCTGTTTGTTACACAGCGTTACTGAGCGGCTGGGTACCTGACAGCTCTGTGAGCAGAATTCAGCCTGCAGACCTCCTGTGACCCTGGCTGGGCAGGTCCAAAGAGTTCCAGTTCAGAACATAGGATTCTAAGAGGAAAAAACATGACACCACTTTCTTTTTCCCCATAGGGTTCTACAGCCAGAGAATGCCACTGCACTGGGGTTTCCACTTGTTACTCTGCCAGCGTGTGGGGCCACACAGGGCCACACATCCTCTGGGGTGCAGGCGTGGTAGTGCTCACGGGCCAGAGCCGAGGGTGCTGGGAGAAGAGACGGGCAAGCCAAGCAGAACAGCCGTCTGTGAGTCAGAAACCCAGCAAATGGCCTAGCACCTGCTCGCCCACCCCCACCTGCACCTGCCAGCCTCCCCCAGGGGCTCTGGCCACTGGACAGTCAGGGTGGGACTGACCCAAAATGACTACCCCTCCAGAGGAAAGTGACAGATGTTAGCGTCAGAGGGTCTTGGCCCACCCCGGTCTGCCATCAATAGATGTCAAGACATGAAAAATTGTGTAAATGAAGGGTGCACGATTAGATTTGGGGCCAGGCTGGTTCTTGGGGTGGCAGAGACAGCTGCAGATGCACGGTGGGAACAGTTGCCCTGATGTGGCAGGGACTTCCAGGCCCAGGTGCCCAGGGACAGCTGCACGAGGTGCAGACATGGGGCTCATTCCTCTGTGAAGCCGTCCCACAGCTGCTGGGAGCACCGCCAGCGGTGGGCTTGTGCGCCTGGGCTCCGGGGGTGCACGGGCCTGTCTTGGGTCTCTGGCGTGTCTGCTCTCAAAGTGACCCTCCTTTTCTGTCCTCCCCTCTTCCACCGCTCACTCTCTCTTGCTCAGTCCAGCAGGGCCTCCTATAACCAGACCCCAGGCACGTGTGCTGGTGAAAGACCGCCCGGGGAGTCCTGCCTGCCCGTGGTCGGCAGGCCTGGGCCTCAGGGTGAGGAGAGTGTCCTGGCGCCTGTCCAGTACCAGGCTCCGGCCCTGCGGCTGGCTCAGGTTCGCCAAACAGATTTCGTTTGCATTTAAGTGGACCGCCTCTTTGGGGCATAAACCGGACCCATTCTAAATATTACTTCAAAATTGTTAGATGCTCTAATACAGGCACAGAGGTAAGTCTGGGGTCAGTGACATGAGCTACTCTGACCAGGAAAAGCAGCGCCACTGGTGCCGGGGTTCTTATTCACGGAGCCGAAGAATGAGCTTCACAAGCACTCAAGGCAGCAGAGCAAGGAACAGCTTTTATTTAGAGATAATGTGAGAGGACAGAGCTCCTGGCTCATGCCAGGAGGGTACAGGAGAGTCCGTGGTTGGCTCATTGTCTAGGGGTTTTCTGGGCGGTTGAGGATTTTCAGGAATGAGGGTAAAGGCTAGGGCTGCAGACCTGTTGAGTGGTCCCAGAATGCTCATTCTTGATGAGTAACAGAAGAAATTTTCTGCTCTGATTCTTTCTCAAGATAGAAGTTTCCCTCTGGAAACGTGTCAATTAAGACTGCCTACCTTGCCCCCAAGGTGGGCTGGGTTGTTGCCTGTTTGCTGAAGTTAAGAATCTTACTTCTTAACTTCTCGGTCTGTTTGTAGTTGGGCTTACTTACTAAATTAGTCTTTTTTCCTAGGTTGCAGATTACTTGGTTAGGATCAGAGAAGGAAATATAGCACATAGGTGCGGTTAAAATAAGCTAGGCCTTTTAGCAGGCTGAGGTAAATTTTACAGTGTCATGATTTAAATTGATACAGTGAAGTCACGGGTTGTGCTGAGATACTTTTCTTTATCTGCAGAACACTCAAACATTCCAGGCCAAGCTGCTCCTGGCCTTTTGAGCTTTAACTGATCTCACTGAAGATGTCTATATTCCTAGTCTGGTATCTTTACCCTAGAGAATTAGCATGACTCTGACTTTGCATAACGCTTATCACAGAGTTTCAACAGGGTCCTCTTTGCAAATTGCTACATTGTTCTGACTCATTATCTTGCTCTGCTTTTTCTCCGTGGAGGCCCTCACCCTACTCTGACTACACCCACGGTCCCTGTCTCACCACCTGGGCAATTCTGAAACAACTCCAGGCTAGGATTCTCTTAAGTCTTTTTAAATTGAGGCAAAATTCACACAGCATAAAATTAGGCCTTTCCAACTATAATGTTAAGTAAATTCAGTGGCATGTAGTACATTCACAGTGCTATGTGGTCACCTCTGTCTAGTCCTAGGGCATTGTCCTCACATGCCCATTAACAATTTCCCGTCCCCGCCCCCAGCCGTGGGGACCACTGATCTATTTTCTGTGTCTAGATTTGTGTGTTCTGGACATTTCATATAAATGCAGTCACACAACATGTGGCCGTGTGTCTGGATCCTCTTGCTGAGCACCACGTTTTCATGGTTCATCCGTGTTGTAGCGTGTGTCAGCACCTCACTCCTTTTCATGGCCCGGTATTATACCCACAACTTCCGATTAAATTCAGGCTGAAATGGGCAAGAATGGAGCCGCTGACCCGCCTGCCCTCACCAGGCCCTGCTCAGTGAGATCCAACTCTGTGCAGGCTCTAGACCGTTGTGCGTGGGGAGGAAGCTGGGTCCCAGAGGAAACACGAGAACATGAGCTCCCAGCAGATCTCTCTGATGGCCTTGCCCACCCTGGGCAAACCGGGAGAGGGAGCACCAGCCTGACAAGGGCCCTTTCTGCTCTGCACAATGCCTCATTATGCCTTTCTCTGGGGACAACAATGCAGCCCCAGCCAGGGGAAGCTGAGGACAAAGAGCCCTTTGTGAGGACTGTCCGCACCTGAAAAGTAGCGTCCAGGGTCACACCTGATGGCAGCGCTGTCCTTCCTCACCTCCGGTCCCCTGAGCAGCTCCCACATCCGGGGGTCCCGGGGAAGCACGAGCCGGCTGGCGCTGAGGGTGCTGGCTTTGCCCAGCTCTCCCCAGTCGGCTGTGCTGGCCCATCCCAACTGTGGTGCCCAGACGACAGTGGGGAGAGGTGCATGTTGAGGGGTGCGTGGAAGGGCCTGGAAGCAGCCCCCGAGCCAAGGCTTGCTGGCCCTCCCGTCCCAAGGCTGTGAGCCCTCAGGCCCGCGCTTCCTTGCTGGGGCTCACCGAGATGAGGAAGATGTCTGCACACACACACACACACATACCCCTTAGCAAATCTCTTACAGGTCCCACTTCACAGTTGGGCTCCAAAGGGAGGGTTTTTGTGGCAAAAAAAAGGCAACTTGTATACGATGTACATACACGCTGTTACCCCAGCAGTGGGGAGGAGGGCAGCTGGGGGTGGGGAGGAGCGCCGGAAGTGCTGGTCTGGCCTCCATCTGGGGATCCCGCGTTCAGAGCCAGTCCCCGTCCTCATGGAGCTCGCGCTACAGATGGCGAAGGTATATTTAAACAAACAAGACTGTTCATTTGACCACACAAATATTGATAATTTACATGTCAAAACACTAGGAACATGATGTAAAAACAAACAGAAAAGGACGAACATTCGCAGTATACACACAAGAACAGGGTCTTTAATATGTAAAGAGTTCTGACAAATGGATAATAAAAACCCACAACGACCTCAATGATTTGCTTCCAATTGCCTCACAGTGTTTCCAATAATCTCTAACACTAATTCCTATTCTCCTGCATCCTCTGTCCTCCAAGGAACGCCTCAAGATTCTTCCTGCCTGGAGCCACCGGCCCTGGGCAGTGCCTGGGCTGGTCTGTCCTCAGCATGTGGAATCGCTGGTGTCCTCCCTCGGGTACTGCCTGGGTCGTGGGCCAGGAAGTTCCTCCCTCCTCCGAGTCCTCATGGCACCACCGTCCCCAGTGGCTAGAGTCCACTGCCTGAGGGGCTCTGCTGCCCTGTGCCAAGACCGTGAGGCTCGTTGGAGGAGGGGAGGGAAAGGCCACTGCGGGGTCCGGCTGAACTTCCGGGCCCAGACGGCGCTGCACCGCCACGCGCTAGCTGTGCAACTGCCGCCCCAGCGTCCTCCGCAGGCAGTGGAGGGGAGGCGTCCTGGAGGAGGCGCTGTGAGGCACCCGGCCACACACCCTGCGTGGACGGTGGCAGCCAGGAGGCCTGGGATGAAGCTGCTGCTTAGACCTTTCGGCTAGGGACACGCAGTGGGAGGGCAGTGCGCACCAGGTCCTCTGCTGCCCGCGTCCCGGCCACCCTGGACGCTGACCAGGCCCACGCTGGGCCTGGGCAGGCACATGCCCTCCAACGGCCTCCTCACACTGCGTTTCCACTTCCACCCGGAGTGAGGGTCCCTGAGGGCAGGCGCCCAGGTGGGGACGCGTCCGGGGCCTCTGCAATGGCGGCTGATGTGATGAATGAGCGAGTGGGGGTAGCGGATGGGCGGTGCGAGCCACCCAGGTGGAGCGATGCGCACCGTCCTCGCCCCTTGGCTCACTGCTGCAGTGCCCCGTGCGGCCTGCGGGGGGCGCGCGCGCTCAGTCCCGGAGCGCCCAGAGTGGGCGGGGCCTCCCGGCTGTGGGCGGGGCGCACGACGCTGGCCGCGCTTGCGCCCCACGGCCCACTGATGGCGGCGCCCGAGGAGCCGCTGAGGCGGCGGAAGGCCGGGGGCCCGGCCCCGGGGCCTGGGGCGCCGTCCAGCCCCGGGCGTGACCCCGCGGGCTGCCCGGCCCGCCTCCGCGCGGGCACCTTCTGGCTGACCAGGGTCGTGATCCTGAAGGCCCTCGCTTTCGTTTACTGTGAGTCCCGGGGCCCGGCGCCCCGCCAGTGTAGCCCCTCCGCGCGCACCCGCCACCCTCGGGTCGACCCCGTGCCCCTCCGCTCCGCGCGCCCCCTGCCAGCGGGTACGTGTGGGGTGAGCGTCCTGGGAGGAGACGTGGCACCTGCGCCCCTTTGCGCGCCGTCGCAGCCTGGCGACTAAAGCTGGGTCCTCTCCCCGAGGAGCCGGGCTGTCCCCCCAGGAACTGGGCTGTACCCCCAGGAACCGGGCCCCCTCCAGGAACTGGGCTGTCCCCCCAGGAACTGGGCCCCCCCCAGGAGCCGGGCTGTCCCCCCAGGAGCAGGGCTGTCTCCTCAGGAGTCGGGCTGTTCCCCCAGGAACCGGGCCCCCCCAGGAGCAGGCTCCCCACCAGGAGCAAGGCCCCCCCGGGAACCGGGCTGTTCCCCCAGGAACCGGGCCACCCCCAGGAGCCGGGCCCCCCCAGAAGCAGGCTCCCCCCCAGGAGCCGGGCTGTCCCTTCTCCCCCGAGAGCCGGACCCCAGATGCGAGCCGCGGAGGGTCACGGCCCTGTGCACACGCCGAGCCCCAGGGCAGCCCCCCGCCTCCCGCCTGGATAACGTTTCTCTGTCGGGAGCTCAGGGCAGGCCGCCCTGCGGGGCCTTGACGCCCGCTTCTCCCGCTCCCGAGCGGCGCGGCAGGTGCGGCCTGCGCCTCCTCCCCCCCACCTGCGGGTCCTTGCCGGTATCCGGCTTTGGCCGGGCTCAGACCTGCTCAGGCCACCGCAGCGTCTTCGCAGCCCAAGGCAAAACCTCCTCCAGGCCTGGACGCCCGGCCTCACACCAGAAGGGCCCAAACGCCCCCTTTTGTGGCTGCAGAGGGGGACACACATGCTTCATGAGCCCACCCTGCAGTGTGACAAAAACTAAATTCAGATTCTCAAACTGGGGAGTGGGGACCCCAGTGGGGATGGGAGAGTCCCAGGCTGGGATGCCTGGTGGTGGGCATTCCCCCTTCTGGAGGGCTCCACAGGGGGTGCCTGTAAGCTGTGGGCACCCACCAGCTTGGCTTCATTTCTCAATCTCTTCCTTGGCAGTGGAAGGTAGGGTTGGAAATGTTAACTCTGGGCAGCAACCCACCGGCAAACCCTGGGGGGGCAGAGGGGGACAGCCGCACCCCAGGAGGGCCAGGCTGGGTTTCACCCCGTGATAACTGGGCTTTCTAGAGGGTCTCTGTTTGCCACGGGATTGCCTACAGCAGCTTCCAGCAAACCTCCCTGTCCCCCCTTTGAAAGGTGCATAAAAATAGTTCTTGCCCACATTATTTTATCCTTCACAGATGAAATAGTCATTTAAACGTTTGGGCTGTCACTCAGCAAAAGATGAAGTCAAGACAGAGTTCATCTGTGAGGCTGTAATAAGCTTTAAAAGGAGCCTGTGAGGGGGAGAAGCCCCAGTGGCTTGGTGTGCAGCGGGCACGGCTCCCGCACAGGCCGTGGCTCTCACGTGAGCACCGCCTTTCATCTCTGTGGGGATTCGCTGTTCAAGTCAGAGCGGAACAGTTTTGAGCCCCTAAGTCGAGCAGATATTTTAAGCCTAGTGCTGAGCACAGAATGGTTTGCTTTGACAGATGCATGTTTTCTATGTTGTCTCTATTTGGGGTAATCTGTGGTTTCCAGTTGTCTGAGACGGCCTGGGGCAAGCGGGCAGTCGTTGGGCAGGGCTGTGCCCCTACAGGGCTCCGCCTCTCCCTGGGAAGTCGAGCTCTCCCAAGTCCCAGGGTTTCCACTATGCCACGGGGCTCCCCGCACATCTCACTGGACAGTGAAGTTCACGTTGCTCTGCGGACCACTGCCTGCCGACCCGGGGCTGACCGGTGGACCCTCCCCGTGCCTCCTCTGCCCCTGCATTCAGTAGGTTTCTCACCGCAGCGTTGGGAGCATGCCTGTCCGTCCATCCACCTGCGAGCTTGCAGCCAGGGACAGTGTTTTATTTATACCTTTGTCCTGGGCAGGCTCGGGGGGCATCTCCTGCTCCATAAAACATCCTTGACGTTTTGCAGATGGCCTGTGTCATCGCTGTTGTCACCGCCTTCTCTTCCCTTCCCCCCTCAGCCCAGCCTGCCCCTGCCAGGCCCTCGGGTTCTCTCTTGGGTGTATGCATAATTCCTTGGATCTCGTGTGCTCTCATTTTTAAAATTTATTCTCCCTTTTTGCTGGAATGTGTCCCTAGACAACTTATCAAGAAAGGATATGGAGAAGGTGACCTTTCCGTCCTCCCCTCACGGATATTCTTGGTTTGCGTGGGTCTTCGAGTCCCCATCAAAGCCGTTTTCCTCAGAACTTTGCAGGCTGGCGAGTCTCCATAGCCCGACCCCTGCTCCTTCTAGGTGGCTGAGAGACATGCTTTCTTGTCTTTTCCTCACACACTTCTGACACCAAATGTGTGGGGATCTTTCTTCACAAACCACTCTGACGTCTGCTGCCCAGCATTAGCGCAGGCCCCCGGGCTGAGGGCTCAGTCCCCCAGACACCCCCACCTCACACCCAGTCACAGGTCCCGGCAGTCAGTCGTGCTTCCGAGCCATCAGCTATAGAGTGGGGTTCCCACGGCCCCCTCCTCGGGTTCCACAGTTCCCTAGAGGGGCCCACAGAACTCAGGGAAATACTGTTTACTGGTTCGTCATAAAGGATCCGACCCGGGAACAGCAGATGCAGAGACGCCCCGGGCAGGTTTATGGGGAAGGGATGTGGGGCCCCCGGGCCCTTCGCAGCACCTCTACGTGCACCAGCCCGGAAGCCCCCTGCGTCATTCGGGGTGTCGTTGACACAGGCAGGGCTGGTTAAGTCATTGGTCCTTGGGATCATCCCCTCTGGTCCCCTGCCCAACCCCGGAGGTCTGGGTGGGGCTGGAAGGCCCGGCCCCTAATCACGTGGCCGGGTCCCCCAACACCCCCCCCAGAGTCACCCCCTAGTGGAAACCCAGGCAGGGTGGAAAGGGGCTGTTTGTGAGAAGTAGCAGCATCTCCCCTCGCTCACGCAGGGAATCCCCGGGGCTTTAGGAGCTCCGTGCCAGGAACCAGGACGGAGACCAAATAAATATTTATCACATGACAGTATCACCGTGACCTATTCTAAACCCTGGAAGCTTCTAGAGTCTCTGGAGCCTGCGGTCCTGCTCTGCGTCCTCGCTATTTAAGGCGTGCCTGCGCAGGGCACCCCCGGCTCTTCCTCAGGGGCCTCTGTCCCCAGACAATGCCCTAGCTCTGCACGAGGTCCCCCGGCCCCACCCAGCTGGCCCAAGGCCTGGGGCTGTCCGAAGGCCCCACTGGGGGACCACTGGCCTGCCATGCTTCCCAGCTGGGCGGGGCCCAAAAAGCCGCTTCATGAAGCTAATGAGGGTCTGATGGAGAAGGCGGGCCCCTCCCGGACCGTGAGGCCCACCCCTGCCCCGTGGGGCCCGCCGCCGGGGTCCAGGCACAGAGGCCGGGTTGCCGCCTCACCGGTTCCCCGCTGTCCCCTGCAGCCCGGGGAGCATTTCTTTTGAAGTCCCTCCTAGGAGACCCGCAAGGCTGGCCCAGCCCAACTCCAGTCCCTGGCCTGGCCGGCTTCCCGTGCGCCCGAGAGGCCCCGTGTTCATCGTGGAGCCGCCCGCGCGAGCCCCGTGTGTCCCGGGCTCTCGCTCCGTCCGCTGCTTCCCACCCGCCACCCGCCACGGCGGTCGCCGTCCCGGTGCTGGGAGGGAATCTGAGAGCTGGGGCTGTCACGCCCTCCCCAGGGGAGTCCGGCGCCGGGACCGCGTGGCCCAGGCCTTAGCTGCTCTTTGGGAAATTTGGGGGAAAACGGGACCCAGAGGGACTCGAATCCCGTTGGCTCCCGTTGTTCTGAGCTCCCCACGGTGCTGAGGTCTCGTGGGAAATCCGCCTGTTCTCGCCTCCAGGCCTCTCACATTCTAATGAAATGCTCTGCTTGGTTTGACAAGCTTCTCTGTAAAATGCTTCCAGTTTCTTTAAAGGCAAGCAATACTGGCCCACCTCTGACCTGTCTGCAGCACATGCTTTAAACAAAGCGCACGGGAGCTTATTACCAACGCCCAGAGTTTAGCCACAGTTGGTAGAAACCACCCCATGCATTTGGGAATGATTCTCTTTTAATTTTATAACTATTTACCTGAAAGGGAGAGAGACTAGTCTTTTTCTTTTTTCTTTTTAAATTTTGCAGACAGCCTCATAATGCCTATCTGGTGAACTGGTCACCTCTTCTAGGGGCTGAGTGTCCCCATATCCTGGGTGGGGTTGGGGGGCTCACTGAACTTTTTGAAGTTTGGTTGCTTGGCGTGGCTTTGAGATGCTATGGGATATTTTTGTTTCTTCTTTCTACTTAGCCATTTCTGTCACAAGAGTGGACTCTGAAGTGGTTGTTTTTCTTTGACATTTAAATCCAATCTATCTTCATCTTTTCCTGATAAAGCAGGAAGTCTCCTATGATTCTTGCCTCGGAATGACTTTTTCAAGCTATTTAATTGGTGAGACCTGATTCCATTTGGCTTCATGGCATCAGAGTGTGAGCTGTGGTCCAGGTGGAAGGACATCCTTCTGTTCAACCATCGCTAGTTGGGTCACTGTGTGCAAGAGCCTGCAGTTCTGGCTTGCAGCCTGTGCCACGGAGGAGACAGGCTGGGCTGGGTGGGTACCCTGTGGACAGAGGCAGCCCTGCCCCTGGGTATGGGGAGCACAGTCGGCCTGTGAGCACACTGCCACCCTCCCAGCTGGCCCTCTGCGTGCAGCCCCGTCCTGACCCCTGGCCTCTGACCCTGGCTTCCCTGTCCTCTCCAGTCCTTAGGAGCTGCCAGCCTGGCCCCTCTGTAGCCCACAGGCCACTAATGCTCCTGCTGTTGGGCCCTTCGCCCCTCCTACTGTGAGCAGAGGGGTCTCAGTTTTCCTCCTGTAGTGCAGTGAGCCACACACACAGTGGGCTTTCAAGAACTGTTCACTTCTTCAGAAAATGAAAACTGCAGACTCCTG